CGATTCTGTTTACACGTTTCACCTTATTAACATCATCCTGCAGTGGGAGCCTCTCTGAGAGGAAACCATCGATCCACGCTTACAAACCAAACATGCTGACTTATTTATTAGCTGTCAGTCTGCTGGTGATGTCAGTACATGGAACAAGATGCCTTCTGGCCTATAGAGGTTTACACATGTGGGTCAAATGTCCCCCATTGTGAACCAGTCAGTGCTGTAATGTGTGAGCCCTCGGGCCTCTGTGGCCTGGAGCCTGTATTGACCTGTTGGCATCGCTGTTTGTTTTCTGTAGGAGTTGCTGTTGGATGAGCTGGTGATGGGCGTGGCCTTGCTCTTGTTGGAAGCCCCTTCAGATCAGCTGACCAGCCTTCTCAGACTTGGTAAAGTGATTATTTTGGACAAAGCTCTGCTGGCTTTAGCTTCCTTTAAGAGACGTTGAAGCAGTGAAAGAATTAGTGGGAACAAAACTAGGTTGTGTGTGCAGGTCATGGTTGGAACCTCACAGAGCTTTGTGTCCTACATGAGATATTCTTTCTCCTAACACAGCACTGAGTTTGGTCCCTGAACAAGCGGAGGCGTCGCCCTGGTTGAGTCCGGTCCTGATTCTCCCCGTGTTGCAGCTCCTGTCCTGCTTGGGTCTCACTGAGCCGCTGTCTGACCAGAACACACACAGCACCAACCACAGGCTGGCTCACAGCCTGCTGCGCAGAGTTAGCAGGCCTGCAGATAAACCCCAGCAGGTAGCCCAGCAGGTAACCATACAGGTAACCATACAGGTGACCATACAGGTGACCCAACAGGTAGCCCAGCAGGTGACCCAACAGGTAGCCCAGCAGGTAACCATACAGGTGACCCAACAGGTAGCCCAGCAGGTAACCCAACAGGTAGCCTAGCAGGTAGCCTAGCAGGTAATCCAGGAGGTAACCCAGCAGGTAGCCCAGCAGGTAACCCAACAGGTAGCCTAGCAGGTAACCCAGGAGGTAACCCAGCAGGTAGCCCAGCAGGTAGCCTAGCAGGTAACCCAGCAGGTAGCCCAGCAGGTAACCCAGGAGGTAACCCAGCAGGTAACCTAGCAGGTAGCCTAGCAGGTAACCCAACAGGTAGCCTAGCAGGTAGCCCAACAGGTAGCCCAACAGGTAGCCTAGCAGGTAGCCTAGCAGGTAGCCTAGCAGGTAGCGCAACAGGTAACCCAACAGGTGACCCAGCAGGTGACCCAACAGGTGACCCAGCAGGTAGCCTAGCGGATAACCCAACAGGTAGCCTAGCAGGTAACCCAGCAGGTAGCCTAGCAGGTAACCCAACAGGTAGCCTAGCAGGTAACCCAACAGGTAGCCTAGCAGGTAGCCCAACAGCTAACCCAGCAGGTAACCCAGCAGGTAGCCAAACAGGTAGCCTAGCAGGTAGACTAGCAGGTAGCCCAACAGGTAACCCAGCAGGTAGCCTAACAGGTAACCCAGCAGGTAACCCAGCAGGTAACCCA